AATCACACATAGTGGCTTCTCGTACAGAGGCGCACTCACTTTGCACACAACGCCTTCCACGCAATCACTATCACGTCTCTATTCGTATAGCAAAACCAAGAAACACAAAACAGTGAACATTAACTTCGCTCACATTCTTGCAAACGCAGCATGGGATTGAGGGTGGCATGGAGTGAAATGTCCATCACGCAATCGTGCTAAGGTCGACAGTCGCAATGGCACCTTTCAAGATGTCCACACGAGCTCCGTCATCCACCTTTTCGTCTTCCTCCTCCTCCACGTCGTTCCCTGTTGCTGTGCTTCCACTCCCAAGCCACATTTCTATCTCTCGCAACTTCCACCATACGGACACACCAAACAGTCGACCATCTCCCACCCCGGTGGCCAGACTTTCCACTTCAGACAATGAATAAAGCGTCTTTTGCCGTAAAGTAATTGAAACAATTTTGCAGACCTACTTTTCAGCAACGGCATTTCGATGAACATCTGAGGCTGCTACTAAGTTCGAATTTATCGTTTCCAACATGACTGTACCAATTTTCATTCTTTTTACTTGACACTACGTGCAATCGACCTCCGACCCACTAAAAGAATTCATTTTCTCCCGATGCAAATGCAAGCAGACATCTCAGGTCTGCCAACATCACTGCAATGCAAATGTGCTAAAACAACACAAAAATAAAGAGAAAATATTATCTTTGGTGATGTGTCAAGATTCGTGGTGGAAATTGCTGACATCGCCAGCTGCGCGTTCGGTGAGGCAGTCATATCTTGAATGTGCGAACAAGCGAGACTTCACACCAGGAAACTCGTAATCTGCACCAATCTGATCGTTTGTTCTTGCCTTGGTGATCACTTCGTTATGAATGTTACTGCAAAGAAGTGAGTGCAGCGTTGCTTCCCCATAGCGGGAGGCAAAGGATTGTGAACCCTGTTAGGACGCCTGTCACCTTGCAATTGACTGTTGATCGTTGCGCAGTTGTGCCATTAATGGGTGCATAGGACATGATCACACTTTACTACTACCCTGTGTTTGTGATTAGAATACATGTATCATCGTGAGGATCCGTCGGAGAGAATGGAGCGAATTTCGAATCCGTACCCACAGACGTTATCAACTACAATCGGTATTAACAATGTACTTTTGCACCTGGTATTGACAAATAAACAAGCCAAACGCCCAAAAATTTGCCCACGATGTAATGCGTTAAAAAGCCTATACGTAAATTAATCATTGTTCATTTTGAAAAGTCGAAATTAGAGTTAGCTGCGGCACAGGCGAATGACATCGAATTACAACAGCTTCGCCAAAATTGTAATTTTAGTCTGTGGAAGAATTGCAAATTCCAAATTGTTCTTGAAATTTTATTTGCGATATTCAATTGGCAAACCTCAACTCTTAGATCTCGCGGAGTTTAATAAGCTAATATTTCAATACCTTCATTACCTCTCACATCGCATCCATACAACAGATCGTTGTAAACTATGTACGTTTGCAATTTTTTCAGACGAATTAACAAGCCAAATGCTTAAAAACGTCCACGATATAATTAAGAACCAAGCCATTACGTAAATACGCACTGTACATTTTGAACAGAAGAAATCAAAATCATGCAAAATGTAAGTTTGTGTAAAAATATAGATGTCAGACTTTAATGGCCACCGGAATTATCGCCAAGCAGAAAGTGAGAGTGCATGAGAATTTCGGGAAAAAAGGTCTACAATTGAACAGGGTAAGATTTACATAAACTGGAAGTTGCAATGTGTCCGGTTTAGTTACCGGCTCCAACTGATCACCAGTATTTTTCACTTCTAGACTTGCATTGGATTCATTCAGACAGCACGGATTCGGGCAAATGCACATAGCCCATCAGCTTCGGGTATTGACATTGAGCAGTTGGCTGCGGCACAGACAAATGACCTCGATTTAAAAGAGCTTCGTCAAAATTGTGGTTTAGTCTGTACAGGAACTAGCAACTTCGTCATTGTTCTCAGATGTTCCTTGCGATACGTCACATGGCAGGACACGAGCCCTTGTCCCGCGCTGTTTTGGAACCAAATATTTGAGCACATTCTCCCTATCTAAAATGATGAGGGTGTTCGCACCACCGTACGTTCGATTACAGACCGTTTTGTTTGGCTAGCATTCCGTAAATTGGCACGTTCATGGGCCGGAGGCTGCATTCAATGTCGACGGAGCAAAGTGCACCGACATGATATTTCGCATTCTAGACATTTTCCCCTAAGAGAGGCAAGTTTCCGACATGCACACAGAAATGTAGTTGGACCCATTTCGGCGTCTCGCAGCTGTACCTATGTCATAACCTGTGCAGATCGTTTTACACGTTGGCCAAGAGCAGTCCCTATTGAGGACGGTGCCACTGAAACCGATACCCACGCATTCATGAAATCGTGGGTTTGGTCATTCCGTGTTCCCACTTCTGTTTCATCCGAATGCAGTGCATAATTTTGTCTTGTTTGTTTCAAGGTAGAATGCGCCTTCATGGATGCAATCATTTTCGAACTACAGAGTAGCATCCAGCGTCCAATGGCTTGGTTTAACGCTTCCAACGACTGGTAAAAGATATGTTGTCTCCACGCTAGGGAGAAATTGCATTTCCTACAACCTTGTGTCCGCCTGACAAAATGGTTGCGATTCCTGACAACAATGCTGATATTTCCTCTTTGGCCCACATCGAGCAGTTGAAGCGCTTCATGAAGATATTTCGAGCAACGCAAACAAGTCTTTTCCCGACAAGCACCTAATACGCCCAATTAGCTTGCCTGATGTTGTCAGCTTCTACGGTGGCATCAAAACCTTACATCCAAACTACGATAGCTTCTTTGTAGCGGTAAGATGCGGTGACAAACTTTTTTTACAATGGACAAAGTTGGGTCGCTTAATAATGTGAGTGTAGACCTACTTAGAGCAGCTTACATGGATGGGATCAAACAACGACGAATTTCTTCTATTCTCTTACCCATGCCAATTCTGTCCTACCCCTGAGAAAACCACTCCGCTTTGTTGATTAAGTCCAGCAATTGCTGAGTGTCAACACTGCCTCACAGACAACACTCGCGAAGGGAATGTTTGACGTGAAAACAGTGATTGTTTAATTAGTCTTCGTTACTAAAACCCTTTGTTCCTTTAAACCTGCAAAGACTAGATTACGTCTTGGAACGTTGACCAGCATATAGGCGAATCCGCCATGTTCACTTTAAACAGCATTCAATATGAATGCCACTTATTAAGTGAACAGATTACAGGTGGCTGTCGGCTGAAATTAGAGTCAATAAAGCAGACAAATCATGACTTACATCAGATGTTGCACTCCTCCGGCCAAAGAGAATATCCGAAAGCACTTGGAGAGAATAGATGAGGGCTTAAGGTAAAATAGGCAGGGGAGGTCCACACTTTTTTCAGCGTTTAATTTTATGATTTTGCTTGTTAGTCTTGTACAAATAATCATCTGAGCTTCGATATTTCTTATTTACTCGTGTGAATGTAAATCAGACTCTGCATCCATTAATGGCACAAAGGCTTAGTGATTGGCAATGATATGCAAGGGAAAGTAAACATCACTAATTGCATCATTTGACTGTAATCCATTTTGTTGTCCCCATCCTTTACTGGTTTCTACTTGTCTCCGTGAGCCAGCTGAGTTGTTGAAGTCGTAAAGCGAAATGTCTTAGATGCCGATTTTTTAAATGTTCTGTTGCTATGAGTCATTTGAGGTGGAGTTTGCAGACAATGTTAGTCAAGTTTGCTGAGCACCCTTACATCCGCATCCAACTTTGTTACCGCTGTCTGTGCATCTTTGTCAAGCTCGAGATGTTGCCACCGTAGTCGTTGTGACAATGCAAAGAACAGAGATTTTAGCCAAGGACAGCTTCTGATCTGTGTGGAAGGATGTTTTGAAGACTGCTTAGAGTTCAGAGCAACCAGAAAGGGAAACACGGTTAGACGGTTGGGGTTCATGTTGTCAGAGCAATCTCCCCTGTGATATTTGTCTTTCCTATACCAGGGCTCAATGATTCTACTGTAGCTGCTGCTGCTGCTGCCGCCAACGCCGCCAATCGATAGCAGTTTGACAAGTGAATGAACAGGAAGGGACAACCGAAGAGTGAGCAAATCATGAGCTCCAGCACTGACCAATTGTCAACAGCTGTGCAAATTAGCATGAGTGGGAGGGCACGTAGCAGAAGAGTGGAGGTGGCAGGAACTCGACCACTGAGTGATTGACTCAACGCCGATGTCGCTGTTGGCGTGGTTTAGTGGTAAATTGGTGGCACAGACGCGTTATTGTGCCACCCACTCTCTTGATGCTGCTATGGCGAGACAGTTTCGCAGTTAGCGAACTTCACATTGAAACACGTAATTGAGGAAACCACTTCTGAGGACTTAACCCTGACACAGGCAGTGGTAGGAAAATGGATCTATTAAGAATCTGCCGTTTCATGCACCGATGCAGACAACGTGGAAAATTGCAGTGTCGTTTAGACATAAAACCACATTCGACACAGAGTACTGATGCCGGAATTTCACCACCTGATTTTGCAACCGTTGGGCTGTATTGGCAAGCGTCGCATGACTATCCTGGTTTTCAGTCAATGAGGCCTCCTCATGCTTCTGAAGGATGTTGCCAATGTTGACTTGGATAAAAATTGTGAGTACAAACTGAGTAAAATGCAATGGACGCACCACGGACTTGACATGACATGGTTAGACACGACCATGTACCGACGCCGATGACGACAACTTAGCCGAATTTTCAAATAGCGGTTGACTTGGTGTCCCAATGCTGTCTCAATCCTTTCTAAGCATTTAACGGCGTTTCGCGCTGCAACGCTGGTAATGTTTAGCTGTCACAACAACGCATTTGCTAGCTGAACCACAGTGTGGCCAATCATTTTACGCAGAGCGTTGGAAATAAGGCGAAAGAGAGCCACCAAATGCCATTCACAGGAGGACACACACTATTGCAATTCCTTTCTCCTTTTCACGAATACTCATGCACAACGGTGGCCACTTGCAGACACAGATCGGCGTGGTTAATTTCTTCCATGTACCAACGTGTCACACAAAAATATGCGTTTTTCGGGTAGAAACGAACCTCGCGAACAGCCGAGTCCTAGTATAAAGACGACAGGCACAGGACAGTAAGCTCAACCTTTCAATCAAAATGTTGAAACAGGAAACCAAGCAGCGTTTATGCAAGTCCACTATGCAGGTAGCGCAGTCCGTTAAACGCAATGCTCTGTAATTTGCCCCTGTTTTCCTTTGGACACTGTCCTTAGACGTAAAACACTGATGCGGTTAGCATCTCTGCTCTGTTCAAATGACATGTGATTTTGGGTCAGTTAAGAACACCTTAAAAAAGACCGCCTCATCAACAATCATAACTGCCCTAATATGGCGCGTGTTCATTTTGAAATGCGGCACCTCTAAAGACTCGGGTTTCTGTTGCTGTCAATGGAACAGACGGCTGCCTAGAGCAGTTTACTCATATAGCTAACCCTGATATTTTTGTGTAACATGGACCCAGTTGTTACATGTCGTTGCTCTTACAATTATCACAGCCACATGCGAATCCATTTGACTTACATTCCACTCTACTACTCTTTATTCACGGGTTGGGGATAGTGGGTAGCACGTGAAACTACTTAGAAGGAGCTAAGTTCTGCCCTCCCCGTCCTACAGTCAAGCAAATTGTATGCTGATTAAATGCGGTAGTATTCTCTAACTGTCCAATGCGCCCACAGACGACTGACAGAAACAGCACACCTTGGACATGGATCATGACCCTCTCGTGTTGAAAGTCGATAAGTCGACTGGAATGCTCTACCTAATAATCATTGGCACCTGCGGCGTTGCAATTGTCGTCGATGTAGGTGAAGGTGAAGTGAAACACGGTTAGAACAAAAGAGACCACTTCTGGGAGAGTGTCAAATAAGTGTAAAATAAACATTACCATCTGCCTGGCAAATGTTCCAGGTGCTCGAATACTCGCAACCACACTAATGTGGCTTCCGCAGAACCAAAAGGTATGCGTCGGACATGGTTGGAATGGTAAAAACTGGCTTCCAAGTAAATTGCTCCAGTGACGAGTTCTAAAAAAACAAGATATGTGAGGTAATATCGTTCATTTTCGAAAATGAATAGTTGAATTTGCAATACTCACAACTGAACCTGGAGGTGGCACGAATTCATGAACTTGTTGATCGCCACCTAAAAACAATGCGGAAAACACAAATAGATTTAAGGCGCGTGTTTGTTATGAAATTCAAATGGCAAATTAATTTCGCTAGCGTCAGTTAAAGTCGACCATTATTGTATCGGTCCGTGTTGTTGTCGTATCGACCACACAAATGAGTCCTACCTGACAGAAGGAGCCTGTCTTTATATACGACTAGTTGTGAGAACAAAACGCCGTCTATTTTCAGTCCAGCCAGTCGCGTCCATTGACCAGGGTCGTTGTCAACTGCGGTCAGACTCAGGCTCTCAACGCTGATGTTCTCTCCATCGTTAGCTCCAGCAACGATGACGCGACCCCGGAAATAGGCAACTGCTGGACATGTCCTGTCCTCCAGTAATGAAGGAAGTTGGCGCCACGACCAGTTGACGTGGTCACTGCAATCTGAGCTGCCTGTGAGCAGTTCAACTGTGCCCAACCATCCACCTTTCCACCCACCAACAACGACGAAGCCAACACCAGGTACGTGCACAGCACCACTGTCAAAACGTGGTGTCGGCATAGCGGGCAGTGGTGTCCATCTAAATTAACCAGAAAACGACAGGTCATAAATGTCCACAGCTCGAGCAAAACTCGGTGAAATGTTGAAGGTTCAACGTTTTTACACCAGGCATCTGATAATTGATATGCTTACTGCTTCCTTAAGTAAAGTAGGGCAAACTTGCCTGTTCGTTGCAGGGTCGAATTTCTCGCATGAAGTCAATGCTCCACTTCCTTTTTCGAATCCACCGAATACAAAGAGGTGTTGACCGTTCGCTGCAGCAGAACACTTCCAGCGTGCCTGCGTCATCGCCGCTACACTGGAGACACGACCGTCGAAGGCATTCACTGTGTCAACCTCGTTGGTCGCCACGCCAGTCTCGTCATCGCCACCAATCAAGTAAATGCTGCCTGCCACACAATCAAAGCACTAGCTAAGTAAATAACGCAATATTTTCACAAGCGTGTGTTTTTTTGTGCAAACTCACCATTCAAAGCCACAACTGCACAACCGCAACGTGCCGACACACTGCAACGAAGGCTTGCGTCTATCCGTGGAACTCCTGCCATTTGCTCAAATGTAACGATTGATAAATTGTTTTCTTCTCTTATGAAAGCCGTCAGGCAGTCCTTTGACAGTCCTCTTCATTGACCAATAAAGAAGCAAATGCAGCACACATCGATGACTTAAGGATGAAGGCATTAACCCAACTTTACACGGTCGGATTGAATGCGAGACAAACTTACCCAGCTCGCGCATCTTTCCAGGAGCTTACGACAAGGTCCCTGTTTGTGAAATCATGCAAAAAAGACGGTAAATATTTGTGGCAAACTAACGCTTATAGATGCGTCAATCTAAGTAGCATGAGAGGTGGTTGAGGTTGCGTCAATTGAGGTGCTGATAGTAAAGCCATACCTGCATTCTTCCGGCATTTGCATCCAACGCTTTGATGTGCA